AACCACCATTTTAAAAGTATGTACATTAACAGTCTGAAATTTGATTGAAAAATCTATCATCCTTCTTCTATTTGGCTGGCTACTTATCAAATCTATTGTCAGACACGTCACAAAACTAATAAAGTCATGCTGCTGTTCTAATAGAGGAAACTGAACTTCAAGTCCCAGAATGACCAGTAGGAAGCTTTATATGTTTGCAGGGGAAATTGTTATTTGATAATGTTGTGAAGGAAGTACTCTCAGTGAGTTTTCGGTATATTATAGGGACAAGTGGACCACCAGAAATAAAGGAGCTTTGAGAAACACTTGCAAATTTAACAAAAAAAAGAGACCATGCAAGATCCTCTACTGGTATAGATCAGTGATTTATATCAGCTGTAGAACTAGCCTTTTGTCTTGCTTCAAAAGAACATAAAAAAATATAATGTCTTGATGTTTTCGAAGTTTTAGAGTATTGCAGCAAGATACAAGAGATATACTTTGAATATTGAAAATTCTACTGAAAGAAATTTGAGGATAACTAAATGACCAAACTTATTAATGGGTGAAGGTTGTAGTATTAAAAAATAATTTGTTTGCAAACATCTTTGTACTTGTGACAATCATAACATCTTTCATCAAACCTCTGACATTAAATATTATAGAAAAAGAGGTATCCGAATATTCTTCCTAAATGAATAAACTTAACCAAAATTTGTTTTTTCATCCCACTACTCATTTGCTATCTACACTTCCCAAAATGTAAAGACAAACTTTTCCTCTTTTGAGACTATCTTACTTCAACTTTAGTCAATAAATTGGTCATGATCAATCTATTTTAACTTCAATGTAATCAATGAACTTCTTAACTGCCATTTCTTTATTGCCCACTAGAGCTTCCAAACATAAGCAAATGTGAATTCTATTGGCCTGCTCTCTTAAACAATTTCATCTTTCTCCGCTGCTATGGAGACTTTTGTCATCTCATTTCAGGGTTCTGAAAGATTCCTTTACTGTGCTTTGTGACCATATATAGATGTTATTACTAGACAAATGTGGTGTAAATGAAGCGTTTATAAAAGGGGTGCACAACTGGTTGAAAAAAACCACACTAAAATAGATATTAGCGGTTCACTATCAACCTGGAAGAACAAGTCAGAGTACAGTGTTATATTTTCATTAATAACTTGGATAATGGGGAAGACTGTATGCCTATAAAATTTACAGATGACATCAAGCTGGAAGGTTGTTGCCAGTACTTTGGAGGACAATATTGGAATTCAAAAAGATCTGTATAAATTGGAGAAATAGTCTGAAATAGACAAGAAGAAAAATCAGTAGAGACAAGTGCAAAAGTATGACACTTAGAAAGAAAAAAATTAAATGCACAATTACAAAATGGGGAATAAACAGTGAGGCTTAGCACTACTAAAAAGGATTTGGGGATTACAATGGATCACAAACTGAGTACGAGCCAACAATGTGATGCAGTTGCTAAAAAGGCTAATATCATTCTTGGGTATATTAACAGGAGAGTTGCATGTAATTGTCCTGCCCTACTGGTAAGTTCTCAACCGGAGTACTATGTCCATATTGTACTTCAAGAACAATATGAACAAATTGAAAAGCATCTCATGAAAAGAGATCTTAAGTACTGGAATAGGATTCCAAGGAAATCTTTGAATACCACTCATTGGAGGTTTATAATAGGTAGACAAAAATCTGCTAGGAATGAGGAAGTTATATTTGGTCCTGCCTCTGAGAAGGAGAGTCATATGACCTCTCGAGGTACCTTCCAAGTCTTCATTTCTATGATTCTGTGTTAAGATCCATATTTTCAAAGGATCAGTAAAAGCTCAGGATTGGTAAAGGGTTTTAATGATTTTTTGGGAGAGGAGGAGGTCAATATACTTTCTTGAAGCATTTTTCAAAACTTTGTTTTGGTCTGGTCTGACATATGAATAGATTCGTTCACAGTCACATTGGAAGTCTGTGGCATAGCAGTCCTGGGCTGTGCTCTAACCACTGGCCCATCCTTCCTCCCACATACACTAGCTAACTATAATTAACTAGTTTACGCTGACTTTTTTTTCAGATCTTGTGCCTATTATTTCCATAGATTTCTAAATATATAGAATGCTTTACAAAATAAATAAGATGACAAGATTCCTGCCTCAAAGAGCTAACATTTTAATCAAGCCAAAACCAAATACAGGCAGTCCCCGGGTTACATGGATCCGACATACATCAGATCCCTACTTACAAACGGGGTAAGGCAACCCCGCACTAGCTGCTTCCCCCCAGCAGAACAGGGAGACACGAAGCTAGTGCCTCCCCCCCCCACCCCCAGCAGACCAGGGAGGCTTTTCTCAGCAGACACCTCAGCTTGAGAATAAAGGACTGAGGGAAGTGAGGTGTGAGAGAATAAAACTGAGCTCTGGAGAAATGTTTGGCTAGAGTTTCCCCTACAATATGTACCAGTTCCGACTTACATACAAATTCAACTTAAGAACAAACCTACAGTCCCTATCTTGTACGTAACCCGGGGACTGCCTGTAGTTCTGGCACTAACAGACCTGAAGAGAACTGTAATGATAGGATCTCTACAGGAAGAATTTGCAAAGGTGGCCAGATATGAAAGACACATTCCTCTAGGGAAACAAGAAATAGGAAGCTATTCATAGAACTAGTAGGAAAGAAATGTTAAGCCAAGAGGCTGAAAAAGACCGAAGGAAGCAGTAAAGAAGAGGATAAGAAAAGGGGAAGGAGGAGAAAGATCAGAACAAGTGAGATGGGCTTTGGAAAGGTTTTGCTGGCCCATGAAAGTGAAGACAAGATAAGGGAATAAGCTCTCAGGGCTCACCACAGGAGGAAAGCAATTTTTTGTTTCTCTCTGTAAATGTAATCAGTTCACTATTAACAGGTGTATATGAGGAGCCTATGGATTTTAGCACACATTATTCCTTAGGTTACATTCAAAATTTAATAATCTCAGTTTACTTTTGCAGTAAAACTGATTGCAATATGGGGGAGAAGAACAGGCACTGATTTTGTTGTGAATTCCCCACCCTCCCCCCGCCTGACATTCATTTTATTTAATTAGAAATGCTCTGAATAGATCTAATTAGAAATTTGCAAGTGGAGGACATTTAGGGTATGTCTACACAGCAAAGTTATTTCAGGATAACCCGCATCTTTTGAACACATCCGCTGTTTTAAAATATAGCCGACACACTAATTTGCCATCCCTGTATATCTCATTCTACGAGGAGTAAGGGTTGGCTCAAAATAGCACATTATTTCTAAATTTGGCGGTGTGTACACAGTGCATAGCACAAATGCCATATCTTATTTTGAGTTTCAGGTGTTGTGAAGATGCACCCTTAGATCCTTCATGTCTCCTCTCTCGGGGCTTGATCCAAAGCCTACTGAGGACAATTAAAAGGCTCCTACTAATTGCAGTGTGTTGGTTGGATCAAAACCTTGATGCAGAAGCAAAGCCCAATCGTTTTCAAAACCTACTGATCAATATAGATTTTCAAGAAAAATGAGAGGGAATTTGGAATTTACCTTTTTCCTTGAAATCTAAGATTGTCCTTCACAAACAATTTACCAGAAGTATTTGTTTCCCTAAATTGTGGGATGGGTTTGAATTCAGTTTTTGCAGACCCCAAAGGTAGGTTCCAGATAGATGCCTTTAAAATTATGTTGGCCTTATACGTGTACCTCGAGTCTTCGGTAGATTTAATCTTCTAATCATATTTCAACAAAAAAGTGTTCACTGAATAATCTTCAACCTACTGCTTAAGTTTCAACTTGTCCTCATTCTTCTTTTTGAGTGTGTCCTTCCTAAAACTTCGGAATTTAAACCAGAAAAGGGACAGTCATTCTTTCCTAAGGAAGGTACTATCAAAACTTGCCCAATATATGGTTAAAAAGTTATCATGGCGTACTTTGCTCATATTCCATTTATCCCTCACTTATAAGCTCCATATCCTTGACTAGAAAGAACCACCCATCCAGATAATACACAAATATTAAGTGGGTGAATGATTCCTTTAATCATATACCATCTTTCTTCTGTCTTTACAGAATCTCTTGTTACTAATTTCAAACTATTGCTCCAATTTATCAAAATCTACTGTGCAGATATTTCTAATGCATTGTTGAGTCAATGTGGATACCAGAAAGAGAGTAAAGATATTCTCCGTCATCAGAATCACTTCTTCAATAAAATGTGTCTATAGAAGCTCTTTATGTACAAATAAAAATGTTCTCAACAAAACAGAATAATCTAAATCATAATTAAAACCAAAAAAGTTACAAATAAAAATATTTTCTCCGCTTAAGCAGAATACCTAATTAATAAACTTGCTACTAATGCTATCAAGTATGGATATAAGCTTTTAGATAGAGTGGACCTAAGTTTACATTTGAGAATAATTCATAAAACGAAATTAGGGCTTCAGTGTTTGTACACTTAGTAGGTTTACCTCCATTGTCCATTGCTAGCATATGCAAAATAACTGTATTACAAAACAAAATACTTAGTAATTATATAAAGCAATATTAAATGTTGAGCTGTAAACTAGTAGGGCAACATCATTCATTAAAGGTTCCAATATTAAAAGTAGACAAGAAGTTTTTGTTAATTTATATATCTTTTATGAGACCCATTTTGCCTCACTAAGAGGAATTGTAAAGCTTTGTTGAAAAATGTATCTTATTTTCAACCCTAAGTAACAAAACCCACCAACTTAATTTAAAAAATCCCTGTCAAATACACTACAGCTCAAATAATAAAAAAAAATGTGAATCTGCTAAAGGAACTACTATGGGCAAAATGCTTCAAAACTACTATTGCATATTCTTGTCACAAATGCTTTCTAATTACCAATCCATCAGTTGGCAAAGACTTGCTCACTGGTATCATTAGCATCTGCCTTTCTACAGCTGAATAGAAGAGCTTTTTTATTATTATTCTAACATTAAAAAAAAAAGTTCAATCTCATGTTTCCAACCTGGTCTCCAAAGTCCTCCGGGAACTTCCACAGTACCACTGGATCTGTAAATAATTGACAGACAGCATTAATCAGAGGCAAAAGAACAGAGTATTACAGTCAAAGTACATTAATATTAAAGAGAGGGTCAGCATAGCTTCAAGCTCTCCAGCAAGTGCAAAAATGTATCTCAAAACTAAGGAAGATACTGGATTATTAAAAAGATTCTTTTATTTCATATTTATGGATCTACAAGTATATTTTTATGTAACAATAGCAGATTACAATGTACTGAGATATATTCAGATTTAAATATTCTTTTTAGCCTTTGAGTACTTCAACTCATTTTTAAGGAGTCAATTCAATATTCAAAATTATATTTCAGTTATGGCATCAAATGAAAAGAGCCTTTTTCCAGCCTCAGCAGGTAAGATGGCAAGATGACAACTGATTAAATGGGAAAATAACTAAAATATACCTACAAATAACCTATGCGCTATAAACATGCTACATATGAATACAAAAATGGCCATTATTCTTGTTAATCCATTTTACATATTTTTCCCTTCAGCCTCAGATCAATGCTATATAAGCTATGGATTAAAAAACTGATTGTTATGTACTTATGAAGAGCCAAGCATCACAATTTAACTTGAGCAAAAGTCAAAACAGGACAACATACCTGTGGTTTTTCTCAGCTTTTACCCACTTTTAATAACATAATTCTTTAGTCTCTTCTATTCAATGATTCTAAATTGTTTCACAAATATTCAATTAAACCTTAAAATGCCTCTGTGAGGTAGGTCTGACAAGTGTTATCACAAATTTACTGATGGGGAGACTGAGGCACGATCACAGATGGTGGAGTAAATCAATATCAAAACTGTTAAGAATCCAAGTCCCCAAGTCCTATTCCCATGCTTCCCTCTAGGGCTGTAGTTCTCAACTGGTGGTCCATGGACCTATGGAGGTCCATGGTGACTTTTTTGGTGGTCCACAGGAACATTGGAGTTAAATTATTATTTAGTAACCATTCTGAAAGCTAGGAATTATTCAAAAGGCACTATTTGTTAGTATTTATTAGCTGTTACTTTTCCTTAGTCACTAGCATAATGAACCGTACTCCTCTATAAATGATAATATACTAATGGACTTATATGACATCTTGTAACAGTACCCTATATATAGTACAAAATAAACATCACTAATGCAAACGCCTTTTTGTTTCCATACGACCTTAACCAATGTAAATCCTACAACTACAGTTCACTCCTATGCAGGTACTCAATAAAGAATGGCATTAATGACCAGAAAAATGGCTTGGTAAAGAATTTTAAAAGCAGATGTTTGTTCAAGGAGCAGAACCAAGGAAGAAGGGAACTGGATATTGAATGATCATTGAGTAACCACCGACACTGTTTATTTTTATCTTCCGGGTAGTCCCAGACTAGGACTGTTAGCTATCGGCGAATTCAACGGTTGACTGAGCGCATGAATTCTTAGCGGCTAGTTGACTATTCTATAGTGCCTAGTGGTCAGGGCCAGCAGCCATTGCAATCCAGCCCCACTCTTGGGCAGACCCCTGACACCTCGTACTGCTGCCTCTCCATCAGAGGCATTAGCGCAGGGATCCAGTCCACAAGTGCAGCCAGTTTAAAAACCAGTTCTACTTCACGTACTGGGTGCCTGCCACCTCACGCTGCTGCCTCCAAGATAGAGACAGCAATGTAGCGTGGCAACAGTTCCTGTCTGCAAGAGGTCCAAGCTCCACACAGACAGAGTCTGCTGGGGGGCAGAGGTCAGGGCATCAGCGTCATCCCCTTCCTCCCCTCATGCTGCTTCCTCTGATAGAGGCAGCAGAGTGTGTGTGTGGGGGGGGGGGGGGGGGCAGGCAGCACCGTGGAGCCAGTGCTGGAGGGAACCGGCTTTTAAGACAGTTCTCCCAAGCAGCAACCACTGCCTCCCCCCCAACTTGCTGCCTCTGATACAGAGGCAGCAGGGGAGGGAATGCGAGTAGTCGACAAGATTAACAAAGAAGGCCAGGCTTATTGGTGAATCGACTAGTTGACTACTCATTCATACCTCTATCCAAGACATGCAATAATAAAGTTGCAACCTGATTGAAACTACAAGTGTCACATTGGCTCTGACTTTGTGGGTGCTCCAGGGCTGGAAGAACCAACAAAAAAAAATTAGTGGATGCTGCGCATCCGCTCCCCTCCCCTTTCCACCAGCACCACCCACCCACCAGCAGCCCCACTAATCCTCCTTCCCAGCACCTCCAAACCACCATTAAACAGCCATTTTGTTCCAAGAGTATGGGGGAAAGACTGGGGATGGTATGTGCTGAGGGTGGGGGTGATAAGAGGCATGGCGGGGATGGGGGGATCGTACACTGCTCCCCACAGCCAGAGCAGAAGTCTGTGCCTATGAAAAGTCTCTTGTCCTTTTTTCAGTTCAGCCAGACAATAAGCTTTATGTCTCTGCCTCATTACATTTTATGCCAGATCTGTCTCACTTTTACCCTGCTTTATCATACTTTCTTTTTCAAGTTCCAACAATTGTAAGTGATCTATAATTATATGCACTGTGGTGTGATTTCTCTCTGGATATTATTTACTTATTTCAAGTTTTAAAAGACAAAATACACACCTATCCTCCAGCTCTGCAGACTCTGACAGTCTAATACATCAATGGCAGGCAATTGGCCAATCCCTCCCATAAACAAAACAGCCCATAAAAAAAATCCCCATCTTAATTCAAACAAAAACCCCAGGCCTCTTAACCTCCTCCAAATGTTCAAAGAGACAGGCTTCACAATAATATAGTTACTAATATTTATGTGGTGGTGTTGATGTTATTGATATTTTATAGATGCAGTAAAGTTATTAAATATCTAAAAGAAAAAAACTCAAATTGGTTATGCCACAGAAAGAAACTTTAGTTTTCTTTCTTTCCGCTGTTTTACTGAAACCAGCTCCTACCACCACCTCTCCCAAAAAGCCCACATTACCCTTCTTTCTTTAGATTTTATTGTCATCATCTCAGTCATTTTTTTTAACAAGTTATGTTTGTTTCTGCTTTGGGAGCTAGACTCAGACTATATCTGACATATTGTTGTGGAAACTTCTCACAAGTGCTGCAAAAGAAGCAAAGGGGAACTGAATTTAAAAAAAAGAGAAAGAGAAAGAGAAAGAATAAACTAATTCTGCAACTTCATGCACTTTACAAAGCCTGATTTTTTCTTTCCCCAGAGGATTACTTTCCAGATACCCCACCTGATCTGGCAATGTTAGGTCAATTTTATGCTGATTTTATGGGCGAGAGGATGGGAATTGCTAGTAAGGATAGCTGTTGCCATACTTGGCTGATGAGCCATTGAGTTCCTAACCTGTCAGGGCATACACACCATGCATTAATTCTAAGTAAATGGGCTAGCTGGAAGAAACCCTAATATATAAAACAGAGCTTTTTACTAAGTATACAGAATCTGTGGTACACATTTCTCACAATAGAACATGCTCAACATTGGCCCAAGAATACTTGACAATTAACATCTTAAATATTAAGTATTTGAAAACATACCTCATCTGTAGGAAGTATTATAAAGTGGTCTCCAAGTCTATATTACCTGAACTAATATACTGAAGCCACAAATATGTCTCTATAATAGGGGAGGGCAAGCCAGCCTCTGCGAAGCCGGTGGATCCAGCTTGCAGCTGCCCTGCTGCTTCCCCAACCCCAGGCCAATCAAGTCCTGGAGACAGGGCAGCATGCAAAGTCTCCTCTTCTGCCAGGAATGCGTAGCACCAGAGGGAACTGCTGGCTGTTTTAAAACAGCCGGCTGTTCTCTCTAGCCACTGCACACCCCTGGTAGGGTGGGATAGAGGGGAGGAATTTTGTGCGCTTCCCCCACCCTGAGGCCCTGACTGGCTTGCAGCAAGGGGTGTGTGCACAGAGTTTCTTCCCGCTACGTGGCCTGGAACATCTGGTCATTCGTTCTAGGCACCAGGGAAGGAGGGGAGACTTCATGCGCTTCCCCATTGCCAGGCCAATCAGGGTCTGTGGGTGGGGAAGCACAAGAAGTCTCCTGGCCCCGCGCCTTCTGCCTACAGCCCCACCCTTTTGGGAGCAGCCCTGGACCACTTAAGAAATTTAATGAAGTGGCCTCATTTTTTAAACTATTGCCCACTCCTGCTCTACAGCAATTACTAATTTATTGTTTCTACCTCAGCTGTGAATACCAAAAGCAACCATATTTTATTTAAAAAAAAAAAAAAAACAGACATCTTATTTTAAAAAACAAGATAGACCTTTATTACATGGCAGCTCCTACAGTCCTGCCCAGAACAAAGTCTAGGCTACAAAAATGAGTAATAACTGCTTACATTAAATCAAAATACATTTGATGAAAATATTGCTAGAATGTTATTTATTGTGTAACTAGAGTAACATTGTATATCCAGTTTAAAAAATGCTATGCACACTGCTGATTGTCATGATCCAATTTTGACTGGAAAACCTATTTTAAATCTTACTAGACACATTTTATTACTGTAACTGCGTGCACGCTTAATTTGAATATGTAGTTTGAGGGAAACAGTATTTGTTTTGCAAAAGATATTCTAAAGTCATTACAAAACTAGATATAAATTATTACTATAACTATTACTTTCACACTGAAAATACAGTAGTAGCGTACAAGCTGTACTTAAAAATTCTGAAATTCCTTTACCGCTCATATCTAAAAAAGAAACTTCCTCCTAACAAACATATGTTATACAAAAAAATAAATAAATAAAAAAGAGAGCGAGAGATGGGGAAGAACTGGTTTAAAAAAAAAAAACAGCCAATCAGATATGGTGTAGCATGTACATTGAGCTTTCTGTGTCCCTTTAGGAACTGATCAAATTTCTGATATTATTTTCAGATGACAGGTGAACAGAGGAGGAGCCAGAAGAAAGAACCCAGCAGCTCATGGCAACTCCTGCCCCATCTGCTCCTCAGGAAAAAAATAGGGCAGCTTTTCCTCCCTTATTTATGCTGGACAGGGGGAGCGGACCCC